TGGGTTTCTTTGGTTTGTTGTTGTTGTGTTGTTGTTTTGTTTTAGACAGTCTCACTCTGTCACCCAGGCTGGAGTGCAATGGCACGACCTTAGCTCACTGCAACCTCTGTCTCCTGGGTTGATTTTCTTGCCTCAGCCTCCCAAGTAGCTGTGGCTACAGGCACGCACCACCACACCTGGCTAATTTTTTTTTGTATTTTTAGTAAAGATGGGGTTTCACCGTGTTGGCCAGGCTGGTCTTGAACTGACCTCAAGTGAGCCACCCACCTCAGCCTCCCAAAGTGCTGGGATTACAGGCCTGAGCCACTGCCCCCACCCTGCTCTCTTGTCTTTTCTAGGTTTGCTGTTGTTGTATGTTTGTTTTTCTGAGATGGGATTTTCACTCTTGTTTCCCAGGCTGGAGTGCAATGGCACGATCTTGGCTCACTGCAACCTCCATCTCCCGGGCTCAAATGAGTCTCCTGCCTTAGCCTCCCAAGTTGCCGGGATTACAGGCAGGTGCCACCACACCCGGCTAATTTTGTATTTTTAGTAGAGACGGGATTTCACCTTGTTGGTCAGGCTGGTCTTGAATTCCTGGCCTCAGGCGATCTGTCCCCACACTGGCCTCCCAAAGTGCTGAGATTACAAGGCCACCCTCTCCCCAGCTGTTTCTCTCAAAGACAAGATGCACAGGCCAGAGGAAATGCTTCATTTTATTTTTGCTCATAACCTCCCAAAAAAATCAGTACCCCACCATCCCTCACCTAGACACAGCCCCTCTCCAACACCTTCACAAAACACTGATTTTCCCCCAGAACTAAAATGAACCCAGTCACCCACCCACTACTGCCCGGCCCTGCCCCTCCTCCCACTCTGCAAACATGGCCGCCTTTAGGCTCCCTCCCCTAGCCCTGTGTCCCAAGGTCACCTGGCCTGCTTTTGGCCTGTAGGTTACATGTCTTCTTAAAGCCATCCTGATTTACATCCTCATTTGCATAGTGCCTCTGCTCTATCCCGTAACGCCTCCACCCACCCCAGAGAACCATCTGCAGAAAACTAGGTTTGAAATGCAAGAGACCAGGTTTCCAAGCTCCCAGCTACTTCTTGCATTCCCTGTGAGCCTCGATGCCTCCACTGTTACATCGCGGGCACAGACAATGACTAAGGCCAAACATTTCATGATGTAGATAGAGGTGAGAAGAGGGAAGAAAATCCAGAAATACAAAAGAGGTGATAAAAGCAGAGAGGAGCTGGGTGGTTTTGGGGAGCAAAAGGGTTGATTTTTTGTTTTAATAGAGACAGGGTCTTGCTATGTTGCCCAGGCTGGTATTGAACTCCTGGCCTCAAACATCCTCCTGCCTTGGCCTCCCAAAGTGCTGGGATTACAAGCATGAGCCACTGCACCCGGCTGAGAGAGGGGTTTGGAATGAAGGTGGAGGCAGGGGGATGATGGGGCCAGAGCTGAAGACCAGCCCCCGGAAGCCACGCCCCACCCTTCTAGCAGCTGCGGGTCCTCTGGCTCCGGGCTTTGTACACCTCGATGAGCAGGTCCTTGACGTACTGGATCTCGCGCTCCACAGACTCCGCCCGTTCCCTCAGCTCACGGTTCCGCGCCTCCAGCCCCTGGCACTCACCCTCCAGGGCCTCGCCCTCTGCCCGCTTCCGCTGGCGGTACCTCAGAGCAGCCGACTTGTTCTGGTCTCTCTTCTTTTGCTTGCGGTCCCCTCGAGGGGTGGTGGGATGGGGGTAGGGGGCCGGGCGAGGAGGTTGAGGTTGAGGTGGAGGAGGAAGAGGGGGCTGCTGTATCGGGGGCAGGGGCGCCATCCCTGCCTCCCCCTGCCTGGCCTCGTTGCGGCAGTAGATGGCCAACAAATCCAGAGTATCCAAGATAGGGGCCTGAGGGGGGTCAAGGGAGGGGAGGGGAAAGGGGAGGGATGGGGCTGGTGGTGGTGGTGGTGGTGGCAGTGGCAGTGGTGGGGAGGGTGGCGGGAGGAGCGGGGCATCTAGGAAGAAGTCTTCCATCTGTTCCAGCTCCTTCTTGAGGAGGGAGGCCATAGCTTCCAGGTCAGGTGGGGTTGGGGAAGGTGGGGGGAGGGTGCCTGGGGGCAAGGGGGGCTCCAGAGGGAGGAGGGCTGTGAAATCAACTCGCTCAGTCATCCAGTCAGAGAAGCCATCACCTGGGATTAAAGTGGGGGGAACACAAAATTGCCTGGGTTGCTGGTGACCCATCTATAAGAGGTCCCAGGAAAAAGAATGAACATTTAAAAAGAAAAAAATAAAGCAGCAGCCAACCAACCAATGACTCCATCAACAGTCAACCAAGCATTTTTTCAGCCCTCCCAACATCTCATTTATGGAGTACTCTATCTGTGGTGTCTCTATCTACTCTATTCTTAAAAGGCAAACCAGATCACATCACCCACACGTGTGCTCACACACACACCTTGTTTCATCTCTACTCATTAATTATTGAAAACCCACTCTGTGCCAAGCATTTAGGCTACGGTAATGAATGAAATGATTCCTGCCTCACGAGGCCTTTGCATATGCTGTTCCCTCCCACTAAAATGCTCTTCCCTTGGGTGTTTTCTTGGCTCATTCCTTCCCTCCTCCTCTAAGAGGGTTTCACTCTGCTGCCCAGGCTGCCGTGCAGTGGCACTATCTTGGCTCACTGCAGCCTAGACCTCCCAGGCTCAAGCGATCCTCCCATCTCAGTCTCCTGAGTAGGTGGGACTACAGGCATGTGTCACCATGCTTGGCTAATTTTTTAAAAATTTTCTATAGATATGAGGTCTCACTATGTTGCCCAGGCTGGTCTTGAACTTCTGGCCTCAAGCAATTCTACCCCCTCAACCTCCCAGAGTGCTGGGATTACAGGCCACCATGCCTGGCTTCCTTCCCATCCTTTATGCCTCCATCAATATGTTACCTACTTGGAGAAGGTTTCCTGGATACCTTTTTTTTTTTTTTGAGACAGAGTTTCACTCTTGTTGCCCAGGCTGGAGTGCAATGGTGCAATCTCAGCTGACTGCAACCTCTGTCTCCCAGGTTCAAGTGATTCTCCTGACTCAGCCTCCCCAGCAGCTGGGATTACACCCGTCACCACACCCAACTAATTTTTGTATTTTTAGTAGAGACAGGGTTTCACTATGTTGGCCATGCTGGTCTCAAACTCCTGACCTCAGGGGATCCACCTGCCTCGGCCCCTCAAAGCGCTGACCAGTGTGAGCTGCCCCGCCCGGCTCCTGGCTACTCATCCTAAATTAGGTCCCCTTTGGCATTTTGTAGCTCAGCTGCTGTTTCTGACTTATTCCAACACACCCTCATTTAACTTGTCTCTCCTCTACCCCTCAGAGTGTGAGCTGCTGGAGGGGACAGACCATGTTCTTCTGGTTCCGGGCTGTATCCTCACACCTAAAACAGCGCCTGGCACTCAATGTTTATTGAATACATGAATTAGTTCTTCTTCCCCCATCTTCCCCTGCCCTCCACTCCCCAGCTCCACCTTCCACTTGCCCTTACCTGCCAGGGGCTCTCCCCCCACTGGAAGCCCGCCCTCCAGGGCTCCCCCAAGAACTTCATAGGGAGCCAAGGGGGCAGGGGCTGGGGGGAGTTTCCCATAGTCTACGAGCCATCCCAGCCCGCTAGCTGGGAGCAGGGCCCTGTCCAGCTCCAGACCCAGGGTCGCCAGGAGTGACATGGCGGTAGCACAGGTGCTGGGCACTGATGGCAACAGGAGACGCTGCAGCAGCAACTGGGACGAGGTTCTGGAGGTTGCTCAGCTGGGCGAAGACGGGAACCAAGGCGAAAGTGGAAGACCTACACGCGTGAGACAAGAGTGGGTGGGGTCAGGAACAGCCTCGCCCACCAGCCAAAATTCATAGGGAAGCCAAGCCACAGCCCCAGGTACGTCCATGGGGTTCCTTCCTCCCCCTTCAAACCAGGGTTTAGTACTAAGCCTCGCCCTCTCCGAATACTAAATTTGTCCTTTCTTTCCCCAAATCTCTGAGCCCCACACACCACCAAGGAACTCGCTTTATAGGACCGATGCCCCACCTCTTCCCCCAATACGGAACCTAAGGGTGTCCCGGGGGAATTACCTTAGGCCCCTCCCATCCACCTCAGAATATTTCGCTTCATAGAAAAACTCAATCCTAGGGACATTTTCTTCCAGCCACGCCCCTTCCTCTAAAATATTTCCTTTTGGCCCCACTGCCTTCCTAGTTTCCATCCCAAATCAGTTCCCAGGGTAACCGTCCCAGATCCCAGCCTTTTAATGTTATCCACTCAAATCCCATGCCTCGCCTTCCCACTGCCCCTCCAAGCCCCGCCCCTCATTGTTTAGCTCCGCCCCCGATTCCTTAGAGGCCCCGCCTCTTTGTCCCATCCCTCAGCTAATGGTTGCCTTGGCCCCGCCCCTTCTCATAATGAACTCCCTAAGTCCCACCCATCGTGACGACGTAGTTCTGGTTCCACCCGTTTAAAGGGGTTCCTCTAAGCCCCGCCTTCTGCCCTGTCAATCTACGTGAGTCCCCGCCTCAGCAGGTGCCTAGTTGAAATAAAAGAAAGCTGTGCTGTGAGTCAGAGCAACGTGGAGCCGGAGAGGTGGAGGAGGGTAGAGGGGATTGGCAGAGAATGGCTACCCGAACGCCCCGTCTACACATGGCTTTGCCCCCGAGGGCCAAAGTGCATGCTCCGCCGCCGGAGCGGTCCAATTGCTTTTACACCGCCGCCCTCCTGGGGATCAATGCGCGTGTGTGACGCCGCACAGGACCCGCCGCTCATTCATACGGGGCACTAGTGGGCTACTGCGCAAGAGCAACCAAGCACGCACAGAATCGTTTAGAAAAAAGCACACCCTTCCCTGGAATGCGCAGCCGCAGCCGCACGCGGGCTGACAAACACCAAGTCTAGAACTCTCCCACCCGGCCCCGGGCCCAGTGCGCATGCGCACCCGCGCGCCCTCGGCCCACCGTCCCTCTTCCGCGCCTGCGCGACCGTGATTCTCCGCTCGTGGTTCCCCACCCCCAGGGCTTCCTAAAGAGGGCCACGAGCTGCGAAAGCGCGGGAAAGGCGGTTGGACAAGGAGAGGCGAGCGGTTACTCACTCCATGGCTGCGGCAGGAAGAGGCAGCGGTGGCCTCGGCTGAAGAAAGAAGGTGGGACGGAGAGCGCAGGCGCGGAGACGGGCTGGGGGCACAAAGGGGTCGCGGCTACAGAGCCATGGCCGGGGCTACGCGGGCGGAGGAGGCGACGCTTAGTGAGAAGACTGTGAACTGAGGTCGGGGAATGAGGCGGCCCCGGGGACTGGGGATAGATATACCCGGGGTGGCGCAGTACGGCCCTCCCGGATCCTTCCGCGCCCCGCCCTCGCGCGGCCCCAAGCGGGAGGCAGCCCGGTCCCCTCCTCGTGGGGATCAGAGGATCCGACTCCCTGCTTCCCACTCACAGGATCGGGCCCTCTCCTGCTTGTGGCTCCGAGGTCTGGTTTTTCCTCCTGACTCTAGGCTCTGGTTTCTCTTTCTGCCTCTGAGGTCTGGGCCTGCTTCATTCCCTTCCCGCAGACTCGCACCGATTAATTTCCCTTTCCCTGCTTCCAGAATTTCCTGCCAGCCACACTTTTCATCTCCATCCCCCAACTGCTGACCCTTAGAACCCTCGTGGGTTAGAGTCCAGCATGAGTCACAGCCCCCTCCGCAACGCAGACCTGCCAGGGTGGCCTCGGGCAAATAAGTTCCCTCACCTCGTTTCCCTGTCTGCAAAATAAGAAAATCAACTCTCGTAGCGGATTTATGAGACTGAAGACAATGTGTCCGCCAAGCTTTATGCCCAGAGTTCAACTCATACATTCCTGTTCAACATTTTTTTTTTTTTTTTTTTGAGAAAAGAGTGTCGCTTTGTCACCCAGGCTGGAGTGCAGTGGCACAGTCTCGGCTCACTGCAACCTCCCCCTTTAAGGTTCAGGTGATTCTTCTGCCCTCAGCCTATCGAGTAGCTGAGACTGCAGGCACGAGCCACCACTCCGGGCTAATTTTTGTGTTTTTAATAGAGACGGGGTTTCACCAGGTTGCCCAGGATGGTCTCTATCTCTTGACCTTGTGATCCACCTGCCTCGGCCTCCCAAAGTGCTGGGGCTACAAGCGTGAAGTACCGTGCGCAGCCATATTTTATTATTAATAGAAACTCTGGGGCCCAGTCTCACTTCTTCCTCCCTGCTTGCAAGAGCCGCAGGCGTTGGACTGACCAACACCTGCTGGTGGGTCATTCTTCTGTCTCCCTCATTCCTCCAAAGTGTCCACTTCCAGCCGTCCTCACCTCCCATTCCAAAGGATGGGTGCCCAGGCCCCATCCCCTGGCAGGGATTCATGCATCGAGGCCCCAGCTTCGTTCTTTTCTCCATCCCTTGCCTTGGCTTCCTTTCAGACAGGCTTTCTTAGCCTCCACTGGATAGGAGCTATCTCCCAAGCCTGCCAAAAATGGAAGATCTCCGTTTTCCTTTAGTCAAAGACAGGGTAGCCATCTTGCCCCTTCTCCTGCACTGGGCCCTCCGCCAGCTGAAGTGGATGTTGGTCTTTTCTCTGTTGCAGAAAGCCACCTTGTCCAATCCACATCAGGACATCCCAGCTGGAGTTCAACCTTCATCTCTTCTGTGGCAGTTAAGAGAGTGAATCAGGGTCCAGAGAAGGTGTAGGAACCCTGGTATTGAGCGTTACACACAAACTTCTTTGTCCTCCCTTCCCTGTGGCAGGCAGGAAGTCCTTCTCGGGATCTGACCACCTTCTCTTGGAGCACTTACTGTCCACTCTCCCAGTTTCTGAGCACTTGTCCTGTATTTCCTTTGGCTGAGGGGCTGTGTTATCACCTATGCAGTATGTAACCTAGCAGCTCAGAGCACAGACTAAGCTTGTCCCATCCGGGGGTCCACATGTAGCCCAGAACGTTCTTAAAACATTATGCAGATTTTTTTGCAGTTGTATTTATTTATCTGTTGCTCATCAGCTATTGTTAGTGTATTTTATGTGTGGCCCAAGACAATTTTAGTGTGGGCCCAGGAAGCCAAAAGAGTATCCATCCCTGGCGTAGACTCTGGAGCCAGATTATATGAGTTCAAAACCTAACTGCACCCCACTTATTAGCTGTGCGGCCCTAGTCATTTCCCTTCCCTGTGCCTCAGTTTCCCCTTTAGTACAAAGTGGCATTAAGAGTGCCTGCTGCTGGACCAGGTGCAGTGGCTCACACCTGTAATCCCAGCATTCTGGGCAGATTGCTTGAGGTCAGAAATTGACCAGCCTCGGTAACTTGGTGAAACCCCATCTCTACCAGAAATATAAAAAAATGGCTGGGTGTGGTATTTTGCGCCTGTGGTCCCAGCTACTCGGGAGGCTAAGGCAGGAAGATCACTTGAACCCTGGGGAGGGGCAGAGGTTGCAGTGAGCCGAGATTGGGCCACCAGACTCCAACCTTCAGGACAGAGTGACACCCTGTCTCAAAAACATTTCCTACCTCTTAAGGCTGTTACGAGGTTTAAAGACTGCCTGGTACACAGTAGGTGCTGCGTAAAAGCTGGTTACTGTATTGCTGTAATTAAGGTGGATGTGTTCTCTTTCTGTTCCTGTGCAGTAAGTGCTTTCAAACTATGACTGGTCATCCAATTTACAAAGGAGATTTCGGGACCAACTTCCTTCCACTTCTCAGTACAGGTTTTTGAGCAAATGCAGATGGAATTAAGGGTAGACTGTTGGACCGACTGGCAGTGGTAAGAAGGCACGCTTGTGCCATACCCACCCCCCACCCCTGCCGAATCTCTCTTAAGAAGACCTTCTAGATTGTACATGGGGAGTGGGTTTTTCTGTTTGTTTTGTTTTGCTTTTGAGAGGGAGTCTCACTCTGTCACCCAGGCTTGAGAGCAATGGCGAGATCTTGGCTCACTGCAACCTCCACCTCCCAGGTTCAAGCAGTTTTCCTGCCTCAGCCTCCTGAGTAGCTGGGATTACAGGTGCATGCCACCATGCCCATCTAATTTTTGTATTTTTTAATAGAGATGGTTTCACCATGTTAGGCTAGTCTCAAACTCCTGACCGCGATCCGCCTGCCGCAGCCTCCCAAAGTGCTGGGATTACAGGCCTGTAACAGCTGTAGACTTTCCTTGTCCTTCATGACCTTGACAGTTTTGAAAAATGCTGGTTGGGTATTTTATGGAATGTGCTTCCATTTGGTTTTGTCTCGTACTTAGACTGGGAGTGAGGGATATTGAGAGGATGGCCAAGTAGGATACTTCTCTTCTTTTTTTTTTTTTTTTTTTTAAGACGGAGTTTTGCTTTTGTTGTCCAGGCTGGAGTGCAATGGCGTGATCTCGGCTCACTGAAACCTCCACCTCCCAGGTTCAAGCGATTCTCCCGCCTCAGCCTCCTGAGTAGCTGGATTACAGGGTGTGCATCACCACGCCTGGCTAATTTTGTATTTTTAGTAGAGACAGGGTTTCCCCATCTCAGGTTGGTTTCAAACTCCCGACCTCAGGTGATCCGCCTGCCTTGGCTTCCCAAGGTGCTGGGATTACAGGCGTGAGCCACCACGCCCTGCCGGGCCTGGGTTTTTGTTTTTTTTTTTTTTTTTTGAGACGGAGTTTCACTGTTGTTACCCAGGCTGGAGTGCAATGGCACAATCTCGGCTCACCGCAACCTCTGCCTTCTGGGTTCAAGCAATTCTCCGGCCTCAGCCTCCCAAGTAGCTGGGACTACAGGTGTGTGCCACCATGCCCAGCTAATTTTTTGTATTTTTAGTAGAGACGGGGTTTCACCATGTTGACCAGGATGGTCTCGATCTCTTGACCTCGTGATCCACCCACCTGGACCTCCCAAAGTGCTGGGATTACAGGCATGAGCCACCGCACCCGGGTATCTTTTAATAACCTGATCAGTAAGAGAATTTTGTTGCTGACTGTGTGCGGTTTATGCTGGCTGCAGAGGCGTCTGGGCAGGGACTCTGCTTCCCCTCCCCCACCTCCTCAGCCCTTTTGCCTTTTTCTCTCTCTGGCTATGTGGGTACCAGTTCCCACCCTTAGCTCTCTAGCCCCTCCTAACCTGTTCTAATTCATCGTGGGTTGTCCGTGGTTGCCTGCAACCCCGGCTCCCCAGGTCTTTGAACCGTGAGTCCTCTCTCGCCCATTCCTGACCCAGGCCTTGGGCCCTTCAGGACTCATTCCATGGCCTTCCCTAGCCTCGAGCTCCCCTTCAACTCCTCAGCTGCGGCTTGAGGCAAAGGTGGGGCTACTGGACTCTTTCTTGGTGCGGAGGGGCCTGGCTTGGGGAGTGAGGCGGTGATTACAGGCAGGTTGCATCAGCCCTGGCTCTTTGATGGGGAGGGGAAGTTGGAGGATTCTCTGGGGGCCCCAGCACACCTGGCAACCACTTCTGGTTAGCAGCACAGCATGAGTGGGTGGGGCGGAGAGGGAGGGAGGTCAGCCATCCATGCAGGACCCTGGGAATTTGAGGCTTGGTGCCAAGAGGGGGCTTCAGATTACAGAGGCTTGTTAGCAGGAGACAGGACTGAGGTCCCGAGAGGTAACGGGATTCCAAACAGCTCCCAGGGCCCCAGGCCCATCGTGTAGGCTCTGGGAGGTCTCCAAGTCCCGACCCTCACCTCAGGCCTGCTGCTCACGGTTGCCAAACGCTATTGATTCTCACCTGCACCGTGCCATCGCCCTGCTATTGCTGCAACCCCTCACTGCTTTCCCAATCAAGGTGGCCTCCTGTGTGATGGAAAAGGCTCTGAGGTTTGCATCAGACAGACCTGGGTTCTGGTCCTAAGCCCAGCACCAAGCTGTAGACTGGAATGCAGGCAGGGTCCTCATCTGCCTGAGCCTCAGCCACCTTCTGCAGAACAGGTCAGAGTGTGGGCCCTGGATCTGTACTGGGTTCACACCTAAACTCCACCCCTTCTGTGACCCTCAGCAGGTGACATCCTCTCTCTGTGACTCAGTTCCCCCAACTCTGCCACTTCTGTGACCCTCAGCAAGCAGCATCCTTGCTCTGTGACTCAGTTTTCCCCACTCTAAAATGGGGATGAGATGGTCCATTGCACACTGGTGGTTTTGAGGGTTAAATGTGTGACTGTGTGAGAAATACCTAGAGCAGGCCCTGGCATACAGGAAGTGCCCTGT